TGTACAATTTATTTTTAAGCTCAGTTACTTTTCCTCCCTTTCCAACATTAATCTGCACTCATGTCAACATGGAAGAAAGCTGTCCCTGTTGTCCCTTGGCATTTAAGGCTGCATTCAATGCAGATAAGGTTTGTTTGGGAACGTACAGGGTTTGCTGAAGACAATCACTGGAGATAGAACCTTAATTTAACCTCAAGCCTGTAGTATTTCCCCTGGGACATGGATGACTGATAGCACAGCAGAGGGCAAGGAAAGCACAAAATTATTGAGAAATGGAAGCAGCAAATCTTAAGTGTTGAATTTCTTTCTCTAAATCATTGTTTATAAGGATAGTCATGAAAGTAATTTCCAAGGCATACACAACAAAGTTGTCATACATTAATCTTAAACCAAAATGTCATTAACACTTGCTCATAGTATCCTATGTACAAGATAGGTCAGCAGTTGTTTATTTAAATTAAATAAATCCTTAACAGAGAGCTTGATAACATTTCCCATAGGAACATTAGAAAATGGTGTTAATGAGCATTATTAAAGCCTGCTTCTGTAAGCAAATAGATCTTTATTAACTGATGCTGGATGTCATGTTTTCCTGTGTCATAGCTCTAAAGGGGCAGCATGAAAAACTAGATTGTATTTTGTTTTAAATAAAAAGCTTTTCTCTGTTCTAAACTTAAAATAAAGCTATTCTGTTAGGGTTAAAGGTTAAAGAACCCTTTTATTTGCTAATGATAAATTTAATTGCCCAAAGCCAAACTGAATACAAGCTGATTTATGTTTTCATTTCTATAGGGATAAAGAATCCTTAGTAGACATTGCTAGAAAAGGTTGTCCCAGCTTCAGAATCCTTGTTTTCAGAATAGAATAATTTATTCGTTTAAAATAGAAAATGTGAGTATCCTTTAACAGACTAAAAGGTATAAGAAAAAACCTATGTGCTATGAAAAAAAAAAAAAAAAAAAAAAAAAAAAAAAAAGTGTGGATTCTCTTTTAATCACATCTTCTGTGTCAAAAAAACAGAAGCAATTTTTCTTTCTGCTATGGACCATAAAACATCCAAATCCCTGAAAAAAACAAAGAAAATTGGAAGAATTGAGTTAAATTTAAGCCCAGATTTTAGGGAGAAAATTTACATCAAAGAAACTTTGGCCAGCAGTAGTGTCTCAGTATAAATTTGATTATGAGCAGTTAAAGTATTTATGTTTCATTGTTAGAGGTTGTTGCCATTTATTTTTTGATAATTTAAAGCAAAATACCAAATTAGCAGCCTCAGCTGTTACTTTAAAATACTTGGGTATTTGCAGAGAAAACAGACATAGTATTTTGAAAAGTTTTAGCTCAACATAAGGGCAGAGCAAATTATAACCCCTTAAGACAGCATCCCATGCTTCATATTGAGCAACAGCTTATGAAATCCTAAGAGGGTTTGTTACATAAGCCAGTGGACTGAAGAAACCTTTAACATGTAGGAAACTGAAGTTAATTAAACCGTTACGGGTATCCTATCCATCATTCCACCAGACCACTCTATTCTAAACCTATTTACATTTTGCAATTGAAAAAATGTACTTGGCATGGTTGATAAACCATGTTTACTGTCCTTATTGATTTGACATTTGTGCATAACCTTTATGCTTTTAATTATCTAATGGTATTTCCTAAATCTTTCTCTGCTACAGAAAGTATTTGATTTCCAAGCAATTAGACATATCTGACAATTACCAGACAACAAGAGTGTTCCCTTCAACAAATTTATCAGTTTGGGAAAGCACTGGTTCATCATTGCACTGAATTTGCTGAAAAAGTTGTTTTATTGGATCTCATTTCAACCTGCTTCAGTACTTTAGTGTAATCAAAGTGCATTTCGATTCTGTTCATATTTCGCTCACAGGATAGATTGCACTTAAGGAGCTTCCTTTCCTGAATAATAATTCTGAAACCTAAATGTAGTATAAGAAAATTTACACTTAAGGTTAATGGCTGGTTGCATTTGTGGGGATCTGCAGAAGAAAGGAGATAAAATATTTTCTAATATATATAGGGTAAAAGAAAAGATGGAAGCTGGTCACTGCAATATAAATTCACCTTTCATTTTGAATCTTTGATAAGAGAGATTTTTTATTTCCTATTTGAGACACAGTTTCTGAGAATTTGCTTTTAATATATTGTGTTTGTTAAATCACTTTATGATATTTTTAAACTGTTATTCACAACTTATTCTAGCACATATTTCTGCCAAAAGTCTTCACATTGCAACATTAAAAGTCACTGTAGTTAACTTCTGGAAAACACACCTCTTTGATTTGGAGATATTTCTTCAGAGAGAGAATTTAGCAGTGAAAATTTGATAATGAAAAGTTTTGCATGATTCACATTTGTGAACGATTATGGTGCAATTCTGTCTTACCTGTGAAATGACCTGAGATAAAATCTTGAAGCTCACATTCGTGGAAGGTGACATCTTATCTATTGCTGCATAAATGGACCACATAATTGTGAAAGGGGCCTAAGGCACCACATTCAGTTGGGAGAAGTTTCTCCCAGGGCAGGTGCTGTGTGAAAGAGTTGCACCATCACAGTTCCCATAAACCTTAACACAAGAAGCAAAATACACTGGAGGCAGGACCCACATTTCACTCTAGACTGCAGTCCAAATCCTGTGAATTCCTGCTCATCACTGATAACCTTCAGTTAATCTGACTATCTGTCATAATTTCAATAACTTCTCCCCTTCCTAATATTATCCAATGTCATTGCAAAGAAAGAGGGATGTAATTTGTGCTTCAGAGGGGGGCAGGATCAAAGTGACAGAAATTTGGCTCAAAGCGTTGCAGGACTCTGAATTTTACACTGTAGCTCTAGACAGTGCAAACCCAGGTCTTCCAGTAAAAAGAGCTACAGGGTTATACCACATAGAACTACAGGATTATACCATGTACAAATCTCGTGCTTCTTAGGCATCTCCAAAATATGTTACTATGATTTAGGCAGTGTAAGAGTAGTCATGCACTTTAGGTGGTGTTAACTGGCATTGTTTTACACAGCAATCTTTATGCAAATCATTTATACATTAGAGTGAATGAGAGAATTCTTTCAGATAGAAGAGGAAGACTGTAATCTGTTTCTTTCCTTCACTTTTCACACTGTGCAAGCAAGAAACAAAGGAAAGCATACAGTGTTTTGATATGTAAGCTAATTAAAAGATGACCAAGAATCGAGAATTAATATGTCAGAAATCAGTCATTATTTTTTGATAATGGTTGATTTGTCTTGTTATTTCATGCTGAAATAGTATTTAACCATCAGTTCTCACCCAGAGAGTTATTTCTAAGCAGAATACAGCCATCCAACAAAATTATCCTATTCTTTCAACCTAAGTTTTTAGTATTTTATCACCTTTTATTTCCCCTTGAAATAACTCCCTCACTCCTAAGGGAACTTTATACCGCATCAAGGCATGAGTCCAGACTCAATCCCAAAGTCTATGTTCCTTTCCCATGAAATAATTTCATAAATTTCAGATATTTTAGCATAAGCATACAATCATAAAGAATGACACTTAGTGAAAATCAGTGAAAAAAATTTTTTTTGCCCTGACACAACATAAGTATCTCTATAATTCACCAATAATTAGTTTGGACATCTAGCTCTAATTCAAGAGTTTATAAATATATAAATATAAATATAAATATATATATATATATGTCTTTAATTCTTTCACAGAATATTGTTTTTGTTTCCTACATGGTATAAAATACTGTGTGAAAAAACATGCTCTTGGACAAGTTAAAAATAAAAAATATACTGTTTTCCTCTCAGCCAATTCTTAAATGGAAAAATCTGAATATCTCTCTCTGATACAGTGGAGTAATTCAAGCAATAGAATATCTTAGAGCAGGGCAAATCTTAGCTGCATTGCTTAATGTTGATATGCCATCCTTGTGTATGGAAAGTCTCAATATGGAAACCTATTGTTTGTGTGGGCACCTAAGAACAAGCCTATAGTGTAGGCTTAATTTTTTCTCCATATTAATGATTTGATGATGCCTTCTTTCCATATTCCATTATTTTGCAGAATTGATTTTTGATAAATTCAGCTTGGTGCCTCTGTGACTACTGCATAGGTACAGTAGCTTTAAATATTTATATTGTGCTCCTGGTGATAATTATTATTCCAACACAGTATAGTTTTAATGCATTTAAATGTCAGTGTTTCTCAGTTTAATTCATCATGCATACGTTGAGATACTTGTATACATATATTCAGTATGCATCTCCAAGGACCTAAAAAGACCTATTCATATTTTAGCAGCTGTGAGAAAGTGAGGACAGATTTCCTTTACATTCCTAACTGTAAACATTAATTAGGTGCTTGACACTCATTAATGATTAAAAAACTCTTTGTAAGAGAATCCATCATAATTCTTTTATCACTATGCCAACCCAAAGAACTATTTAATTGTACTGCGGTATCTCTGATGGCAAAGTTAAAAACGATGTGTAAAAATAATATCCATTTATTCACTGTTTGTTTCCATGGGAAAAAAAGTGGTTTGCTGTGATACCTAGTAAGTTTCTCAGTATGAGAATGTCATGCCTTATTATCTGTTTGTATGCCTTTGTTGAAAAGCCATTATGCAGCTGCCTATACATTCAGTGTGTCTTCTCGTTCTTAACCATTGCAGCAGAACAGAATTTCAAAAACAAGAACTTGGAAGATTTTCTCCAAAATATTAATAAAATGCTAAGGATTATCACAAACCAAACAAATAGAAATCCCCCCCACCCCCAAACTCCTTTTCACAAACATGATTGGAATGCATTTAACCTTGGCTTTCAAAGTTGTACTATTTGCAATTGTTTGCTTAAGCAAAGCACAGAAGAAAGGAACACTGCATTCCCAGGAGGCCTGACAAACGATTTCCAAGGTCAGGCACATGCACAAAAGAAACAACAGCTCCTCACTCTATGTCCTGTAATAGCATCTCTCCTTATGCTACCTGTGACACTGCTTCTGTCTGGTCTCCTTGAAGGTTATGATGGTTGCCATGTAGAATGAGTCTGGTAGCATCCAAAACATGAAACTGAAGCTGCAGTGTTCAGTCCACACCTAACAGTTGAGAGAATCCCTCTATTGATTTTCTTGGTGTGACTCCACCCCGGCTGTTTTCTCAGCCTAATGCTGCATCTCCAGAATGTGTAATAGTAATTGACCAGAACAGAGTGTCAGGACTAATTAATGTACTCTCATTATTGGTGAGAGTGCCGGTTTTCAAAGAATGTCCTAGCTGTTATTTATGGCATTTAATTAAGGTACAATCTTATTTAAATAATCAGTGTGTTGCAAAATAGAAGAGTCAAACTACATAGCTGCAATAAGCCAAACATAATATGTACAACCACATTTGCAGAGAACATTTAGACATTTCTGCAAGTCATGAGAAATTTAGGAAATCAGTAGGGTTTTTTAGCTTTTACAAGGCATGTGAAAGCATTCTATGCCTTCTAAATGGATTTACTCTAACTGCCTAATTCATTATGCTAAAACCGTGAAGCAATTTCCTATTCAAAGCCCAGTTCACAGGCTCTCTGTTGTCAAGTATTTGAATTTCAGATTAGAAATGTGTTCATTTGGATAGCATGAAAGGAAAGCTTTGTTGTCAGATTTGCTTTATGTTCTGCCAGCAGCCAAATCCCTCTTCTTCAGTGGTCACCAGCAAAATGCCAGACCTTCACTCTGGTCTCAACTATCCTGAAACAAACACAAATGCCTTTGGCCTTTGTGGCCTGAAAACTGGTTTGAGGTTTGCTCTTCTCCCCTCTCTCTTAATATTTTTTTTAGGGATCATTTCTGACAGATTATATCTACAAATGCTTATATTGTGCTGAGTTTTTCTTATCCTTACAAAAGGGGAGGGGGAGAGCATTTCCACAGTGGGGGAGAAGAGACAGAATATTTGGTCCTGTTAGAAGATCTGTAGTTTGTTGTGGAACAGGGAGCTGAAGTGGCTGCAGCCCTTTTACCCTCAGCATGTTTCCAGCTATCATCTACACTGAATTTTAACTATGCCACTGCTTGCTTGTTAGCAGCTATTTCTTTGCCAGCTTGGAAAAAATACAGACAGCTGACAAAAGTCAGGGGCTCCATTTCATGCAGAGTAAAACAAAGTTACCTAATACAGCCTGCAGGACGAAAAACCCCAAGCATTCTTATCTTTGGCTAGTAGTATGAAAGTCAAGGAATTCTGGCCACATTTCTCACAGGAAAGAGCTTTTCAGAGCTCTTCCATTACTGTAAGCTATTTCTGATAGGTTTAGGGTCTATACTGTGGAAAGACAAGCCCAGCATATCCTTCTATTAATTAAAAGCAAACATTCATGCAAGGAATCTTGTAACCTAAGCATGAACTTTAATGGTTGTAACATAGCTGGAAGCAAAAATAATTACTAGCAGCTATAGAAGACATTGAGATATTTGTAATCCCTTTGCTTTTGAATACAATAACCCCTACATAGTCATAATAAACTCTTCAGCATAGGAAATGGTAATAGAAGATCTCTCTACTGATACTGAGGCTATGCAAATAATTGATTTCTCAGCTGAACAGATGAAGAGAAAGAATACAGAAAAAAAAAAAAAAAAAAAGTCGATCTAGGATGAATTTAAATTTTCTGTTTTTTTCTTGTCTTAATGAAAGAAAACAGAGGCAGGAAGCATTTAATTCAGCCTGAAACATGCTGCCGGACTCTGACTGAAACATTCCACCCTGGGCAGCAGAGAGGAAAAGCAGGAGTCACTCAAGTAAGAGGCAGTGGCTCATGCTTCCGCTCCCACATGATGTTCAATTGGGTGTCCTAGGGGCTGCTTGCACAGCACTCCCAGCAACAGGACAGAGACTGCTGCTACCTCCAGCCACGGCACACTGTACTGAAGCACACCTATCCCTTGAGGGTCAAACACGTATCTTTCCTCTCCATAATTCCCTCTGTAAACCTCTGTCTGCCACACGAGGCTATGGGAGCCTCAGGTCCCTGTCTGTTCTCTGCCAGGTGAAAGATGTCAACACTTTTGCCCTTGCATAAAGAATGACCTCAGCAATTGGAGGTGAGTGTCCTAATCAGCATTTTAGAGACACCCCAGGGAGTCACTTTTTAGAGTCGTTTAATGACTCTACTTTCAATGCAAATGGCACAGACCCCTAAGAAAGTATTGAAAGAGCCCCACCTCACCCAGCCGAAAGACTGCTGGGAGTTCATCTCAGTTCATCGAAAGTGGGAGGTCTCTCTTGAAATCCCTGTTCAAAATCGGGCACAAAGCGGATTGCTGTTTCCATGTCTAGCTCCTGGGAGAGGGAGCACAAAGTATTTCACCCAACTCTAAATGACACATTGTTCCAACATGTGCTTCCAAGTGTTAAAATTGAAGACAAATGAAGACTATGGCCATTGATAAGTTTCCTGGCACCTTATTTCATGGTTAGCAGAAATGAGCCTAAGAGCCTTCAGAGTTTAAATCTCTAATTCAAGAATTCTCTTGTAGTCCAATTGTGTATGCTTTATAATATTTAAATGCAAATAATATTCTGGTCATGTTTCTGACTGGCTGCTAAATACCCTCTTGTTCTCTCATGGAATTTGTTTCCTCAACCTCGAATTATATGAAGAGAATTAGAGACCGTTAGTATACATTATATCAAAGTTAAATAAGACTGCTAAGAATTCAGGTCCATACCATTCTAAGTTAACAATGACATAAAACTACTATGTTGCAAATAACATACTCAAGCTATTACCAGTGCTCACACTTTTACTACCCTGAATCACAATTTTACTCCATACATAAGACATTCTACAGTGCTGTCAGTAAAACCAAGCTTCATAATCCCTAGCAGCTTTACCAGACTTTATCATTAGGCACATTCTTCAGCTGTCAGGGCAGCATGGTTGCCATCAGAGTGACCCTCATGCTGTGGTTTACAGAACTAAATCCTAAACTTTTTGTTGGGATTTCTTAATTAAAAGATTCAAGCTACCATGAGTTTGTTATGTCCAATAAGACAGTGCATTATTACATCTTCAGAGAGAGGGAGGTTTCCCACCATAAGAATATGTGAAACTTTTTTTTCCACTACTTCATCATCCATACAGAACAACAGAGGAGCAACAGGCACATTGGACCCTTTCCTCTTAAAATCCAGAAGCATAAAAATCTGTGAAGGAGTCTATTTTCACAAGACACCTGTCCTGGTTTTGGCCAGGATAGAGTTAACTTCCCTTGGGCTGAGAGGCAGCACAGTTGAAGGCCCGGGTCTGGATCGATCACTGGAGTATTCCATACCATGTGACATCATGTCAGTGTATATAGGCAGATGCAGGCTCATTGCACGCACCATTTTCAATTTTCCAGGTTGGCATGGCAGGATTTTCTGGGGCAGGTGGATCACTGCTGGGGGGCTGGGCTGTGTACCTGTTGCCGCACTCGGTAAACCACTGCTGCATTTTACCCATTTTTGGACTCACTATTGTTACTGTTGTTACTTGTTATATTTAGTATTTTTTTTTCCCAACCGATGAATTATCTTACTTTTGTTCATTCCCTATTTCACCAGGGAGGGAGGAGGTTAATGGCTGGCCATGTGGTGATTGACTGCCAACTGAGTTCAAACCACAACAGTTTTTGGGGCTCTGAGGTTTTTGAGAGAACAGCAAAGTGGGTAGAAATGTTGATTGCTTGGATCCTTAAGATCTTATCACCGCATTTGAAATATGTGTTTCCCATGCTGTTGCTCACAGTCCATGAGAGTTGGGTTAAGATTTTGTTTCTGTTGTACTATGTGATGGTCATCTATGATAGTGTGCAGTCATTGGCCCGGGGGCTATTTATAATTGTGTTTGAGAAATTTGGAAATTTCAAATATCTTTGGAATGTTGACATTAACATGGTTGCTGTGCTGTTAGGAGCTAGTGTGTTCCTGCATGTGTTTCAGGTTTTGTTCAGGGTTAAGCAACTATTTAAGAGTTCACTTGGAAACCTACTCCAGGGTTGGAGAATTATGAGTGGCTGGGGGTGTGGAGTAGCATAGGCAAGTACCTAGAACAGTGGGCATCTCCAGTGTATTGGAACTTCACTCCTGAATAGGTGCAGAATCCTGATGAACTAGTAAAATATTTGGAAAAAGTATGTTGTCACTGGGGTAATTCCAGAGAGGCACAGCTCACTGCAATATGCTGGGGTATAGCCCACGCTTACCAAGTGCTATCAAACACTGTTCAGCACCCTCAAGAGGAAGAGAAGGGCTCTGGGTCTGGTAACCAAGTAACAGAAACTGCAGCCACTACAACCCCGAGGACGGGTGCTGCAGCTGAACAAGGGAACTAACCCATGATGGTGTCAGTTGCTCCCATACAGAAGAAGAAATACACAAGAAAATCCCCTCCTAGTGTACAGGGTGATGATGAACCAGACTCATCACGAGAATAGGAGGAGGAGGCAGAGCCAGTGATAGTCACCCAATCCTTATCCCTGAGTGAGTTGCGAGACATAACAAAGAATTTCACCTGCTATCCAGATGAGCAACTCATTATCTGGCTGCTACAGTGCTGGGATAGCGAGGCCAGTGGCATGGAACTAGAGGACAGGGAGGCAAGGCAGCTGGGAACTCTGTCTAAGGAAGGGGGCATTGACAAAGCCATTGGAAAGGAGACACAAACTCTCTCTCTGGAGGCGACTTCTGTCAAGTGTGAGGGAGAGGTATCCCTTCAAGGAAGATTTTGTATGTCATCCAAATAAGTGGACCACTATGGAGAGAATTATTCAATACTTGAAGGAGCTAACTGTGTGGGAAATGGTTTACTGTGACCCAGATAATGCACAGCTACCCACAAATCCAGATGAGGTCCGATGTACCTGGCCCAAGTGGAGTAGTTTATGCAGAGCACACCATCATCATACACCAGTGCATTAGCAGTAATGGACTGGAGAGACAAAGAGGAACCAACAGTGGATGAACTGGCTTGCCGACTACGACAATATGAAGAAAGTGTCTCTTCCCTCCTCATCACATCTGTGGAGCAATTATCTCAACAATTCCAGCAATTTAAAGAGGACATGTCCTACT